AAAAAAATTATTTTATTGGCTGTTATTACAAGTCATGCGTTAAGTTTTTATGGATTGTGGGTATCAAATTTATCCACCATCATACCCATATAACTCATTAAAGAAACTATGCAAAACGTACATACAGTGTAGGTAAAATTTTATGGTCGGTATGGTAAAACTTAACAGGATATCTAACACAGATATAAAATCATATTTTCAGCGAATAGACAAAGATAACAATCATATTCCCCCTTGGTCTCCCCTCCATTAATCTTCTTGACGCCCATTTTGCCTGTTAGTGAGACGATTAGTTCCGATCAGAGATATTTTACATATTCTGTGGTTCCGATCCTCATAAAGCTAAGAAACTAGAGGTGGGTCCTTTAGTTTTTTAAATTTTTATCGGAACCGTTTTTCGTAAACTGTAACTAGTTGATTGTTTACCAGTATTCAAATTAGCGAGTACACAAACATATTGGCTATTATCGTTTATATGTATAAGTATTAAAGTGAAAGAAACTAACGAAGAATATATTTATTATAACTTGAAAAATAAATTAAACAATACAAATAGTACTTACATTTACATGGACTTAAGTCATCTTTATCAGTTTCTTTTTCTTGTACTAGTCAATTTTCAATAGTATAATCTTCTTTTTCTTTTTTTTTTATAGAAGTAACCAGCTTCAACCATCAACTAGTTGATTTTAACGAATTTAACCGAAAATTTAGAGTTTAACACGGTTTAATTAGACTGCTGCCATTTTTCTGGAAACCATAATTCAGAAAACATGGCTTTTAAAATTAGTGAAATTATTATTCAGTGGGGTCTAAAACAAAAAGTAAATTTTGCAGTAAATGATAATGCCTCAAATATGGTCATAGCTATTAAATGTGTTTTGGAATGAAAACATTTAAATTGTTTTGCTCATACGTTAAATTTATTGATGGAGGACGCACTTAAATGCTGTCGTGTACAAATAGATAAAATAAAAAGTCTTTTTTTCGACAATTCGTCAAAAAACACATTTCAAAAAAGTACCTTATCTTCAGAAACGCTTTTAAAGTATCAATTACAACATAACAAAGATCCCAAACGGCCAATCCAAGACGTGGAAACTAGGTAGAACTTCACCTATTACATGTTAGAAAGAATGACGGAGTTAGAAGAGGCAATCCGTTCCACATTGGTATCAGTTAATACAGACTTAGACTTAGACCAAATCTAAATAATGAAGACTGGATTATTTTTTCGTAATTGTCCTAAATTTTACGGCCTTTTAAAGAAATAACAAGTACAATGAGTGGCCAAAAATACTTGAATGATAGTTCAGTGATTGTTCTGGTACGCTGCCTGCAAAAATCTTGCAATAAAATTTTAGCAAACAGTAACCTTACATCCATAGTTAGTATCCGAGGTAGTACGGGTTTTTATTACTAATTACGGGATAATTACTAATCTCGGGTTTAGCAAAAAGATTTAGAGGGATAGAATACAGTGGCATATTGTCATTATGTACGTTTATGGATTCACGATTTAAAGTGCAGGGATTTTCTGATAAAAATGACGCTAAAAAAACAAAAGAAAGAGTTAAGAAGCTGGTTACTTCTATAATTAAAGAACAAGAAGATTGTACTATTGAAAATCAACCAGTATAAGAAAAAGAAACCGAGAAAGATGACTTAAGTCCATGGTGTATTTTTGATCAATTAATTGGACATGACTCATCTAAACGTACACCTGTAGCGAGAGTCCATTACAATGGTGGAAAAACCATCGCCATGTATCTCCTAACTTAACCACTATATTCATAAAGTATTGTAAATGTGAACACATGTTCAAAATCAGGTTTAATTTTAAATAAAAGAAAAACACAATTAATAAGAAGTAAAGTAAAAAAACTTATGTTTTTAAATGTCAATTTAGACGATTCGTGATTTAATAATAACGTGTAATGTAAACGTAGGTACGATTTACTATTTGTATTGTTTAGTTTAGTTTTCAAGTTATAATAAAATCTTTTATTAATTTCCTTCACTTCAATAAATATACAGATAAACGATAATAGCCATTATGTTTGTTTATGTAGGTAGTTTCTTACTTGAAACTACTATTAAAAAATCATAGTTACTTGTTTACGAAAATCGGTTTTGCGACGTCACTGACCCACCTCTATTCGTAAATACCTGTTTAGGTTTTGATTCGGTGATTTGACCACGCAACACGCCACGTTGGCAAATAGTTTTGTACGAAGCTTTTTTATTTATATGCAGTTTAATATTTTTATTGGAAATAAGGCATAATGTAACTTTAAAATAAGCTTATTTTGATGTTTAGATTTTTAATTCGGAAATCGTTTTTAAAATACCAAACATTAATAAATTTTATTTATATAAAACGATTTCCGAAGTATAAATCAAAATGTTATATTACACTTATTGTAAAGTAAAATTGTGGCATATTCCCAATAAAAAACAATAAGCTGTCATTTAAATCCATTTCGCCCAAATTTCATTATCTTGGAGCATTGTTCAAATGCGAAAAAGACAACAGGTCAAATAAAACCAATAAGTTTGGCAACGTTGAATTTCCCCTTTTTATTATATCCACTCCATATCCACTAATTTATGTTCGGTGATATAAAAGGCGGACACCTAATATATCTCTCTCTTTTTAAACAGTTGTTTCTCACTCCATCTCATGTAAGGTCCATACCGACCATAAACTTTTACCTATACTGTATATCACAATCAACAAAAATCAAAATGTTGCAACATTCGCATTAAGAGTATTTTCCTATATTGTGCAGAGACTTGGACACATGAAGATGCGATCACAAAAAGATTACAAACGTTTGATAATAGATAGAATTACCATTAAAAGAAAAAATGGAAATTGGTTGGGCTGACGACTCAATAGGTCAGAGACACATTATCTATATACACATAATATACAATACATAAATGCACAACACATAAACTCACAACAGATCCGAATTTAATATCAAATCATGAAGTAAAACATCAACCCCAGAATTTTTAACCCAAAACGTGGCTATCTGCAAACAAGATTGAGGCCGGGTGAGTCGATTGCCAGATTTGGTCAAAAAGCGCCAACTATATGCAACAACAGGTGTAATAACCTCCTTCTGATTTTTTTTAATTCTCTTATTAAACGATAATTCCCACTTTCTGACTTTATCATTTAATTAAAGTCATATTTCTACTAAGAAGACTGGTTGTCAACTTAGTACTTTTTTTTGGTTATTTCGAGGAGGTGCTTTTTTCTCGCAAAATTGTATTAAGCTAATTTTACGTGGCTTTTTGTTAGTCCATAGAATGGCTTCCGTATTAGGAATTGTTAGTTGGTTCTTTTTTACTAACGCTTTCCTATTTCATATAATACCTTTATGACTTACACTTACATCAAAGTTACTTTGTTGTTTGTTGCCAGTTTCTTCTCAGACATACATTGTTGCAGTCTACGCATATCAACACTTACATCAAAGTTACTTTGTTGTTTGTTGCCAGTTTCTTCTCAGACATACATTGTTGCAGTCTACGCATATCACTATTGGCGCACCTGGGCCCAAATATATATAGCTTGCGTTTGTCCCTTGAAGTCTTCCATAACCGAATATATCACAAATTGGACATAGACGTTAATGATTTGGTTTTCGTAAAGGCCTGGGAGCGCGTGAAGCTCTTTTTTCACTTAATATACTGATACAAAGATGCCTGGACGTCAATCAAGATATATACGCGTGTTTTATTGACTATAATAAAGCATTCGATAAAGTACGACATAAACAATTAATGAATGTCCTGAAATCAAAGAATATTGACTACAACGACTTCAGGATCATATCAAATTTATACAAACATCGAGCAAAAGTACGTGTTAACAAACAGCTGTCAGAAGAAATTGAAATTAGATGTGGAGTGAGACAGGGATGCATCTTGTCGCCAATTCTTTTTAATGCCTACTCCGAAGAGATCCTGAAAAATGCTCTTGAGGGTGAAACGACTGGAATAAAGGTAAATGGAGTTCCTATTAACAACATTAGATATGCGGATAACACTGTGATCTTAGCCGAAAATATTGAAGGTCTTCAGAGACTGGTGACCAGAATAGCGGAGTATGAAAAAGAGTATGGTCTAACAATGAATGTCAAGAAGACGAAATTTATGAGAATATCAAAAACTTAAAGAAATAATGAGAATCTTCTAATAAACGGAACCAACGTCGAATTAATTACCGCGTTAACTATACTTCCGAATACTGCATGAATATATCTCTTGCCAGTGTAATTTAACCTTAATCTGCTCTAGCTGGTGATTTTTACCATTGCGTTATCGAGATGGTAACCCTGAGAAACTATTTATAACAATTTTAAGTTACCAACAAAGTTACGAGGATTTATTTTTAAGGTCGCAATGTGCGCCATATTTAAAGCAATGTCTATTTTTATTTTACCGCTTTATAGACATTTGGAGGTTTTTAATAATTTGATAATTGTGTATCAATTCTTATCCCTCTCCTGAATATAATAATATATACATAATTGAAAAATAGAAATCTTTAGATAACTATTTAAATGCAAATAGTAACTTTAACTATCAAATACAAAAGCAATGATGAATAGAAATTAAATGAATTAAAAAATCTTAGTATCTTTTTTAGTGTTATAAGGTCCTGAGAGTACACCCTGTGTTAAATAACACCAAAAGGCAAATATATTTATGCATTTAGAATATCGTAGTTAGTACCCGTGTTAAAACAAAATTCTAATAATACAAAACTAATCAACGGAAATTGTGACTGTTTTGTCCTATTTCTTACGCTTACCAATGTATTTCTCCTCCAGCATGTTTTCTTTTTTTTTATTTAATTGTATATACGTTAACGTGGTGTTCAGTATCCTAATTGTGGGCTTTGTAGCTGTTTGCTGTAAAAACTTGCATCATACTATATTTAAATTAAAACTTCTCGAAGTTTTAAAAACACGCTGTTATAGGATCAAGAAAAGATGGCGCTGCAACAGAAATCTGCCAGGGAAGCCGAACAAGAAAGGCAATGGAAACAGCTTCAGGCTATGAGACAGCAGCAGACGCAGCAACAACAGAATATTATACATGAACAACGTGTTCAGGGTAAGTTAAAACTATACGAGGTTTGATTTTGTTGCATCGTACCTGACCCAATTTTAAATCAAAACATTTATTTTTAAGTCGCATTGTAAACTGTTATGTTTAGATTCTTTACAGTCACATCTCAGTGTCAAAATGGAGTTTGTCGAGCAACAAGCGGTGATGAAGTACTTACGTTTAAATCAGATTTAACGCAAATTTATAAAGATGTGACGGTTTGAAATTTGATTTGAAATTCAAAAATTCATATAACACTGGATGTGAGTTTAAATATGGTATAAATTAGTAAAATGTACTTATACAGTCGTTTATACTTATTCAGTAGTTCATGACCAGATCAGACCAACATGAATGTGGATTCTCACAAGAAAATGTTCCAAAAAGGTCCACGACTCGTACTAAAACGTATGTCTATTAAACAAAGAATTGAAGTATGGTCTCTCTGTGCTATATAATATACTTACTGCTGAATGGAACGTGAAACAATTATCTGCAAGATGGGTACCGCGAATGATAACAGATTTATACCAACAAACTCAAAAAAACATTTATAGTGGTCTTTTAATGCTGTATAGACACAAGAAATTTTTCTTGCAAGATTAGTGATAATGGAAGATGGATCGTAGATCTATCATTACGATGTAGAGACCAAAATACAGGCTAATGAGTGCAGAGATCAAGTCTTACCACTGCCGAAAAAATTCAAGGTGCAATCTTCAGCAGTAAGTAATTTCCTGAAAAAGGGAGCTACAATTACATGTTATGCCAATGCTAATTCCAAAATTACGCCATAAAAGAAAACCGTAGAGGGGAGTTGCCCAAAGGTGGCTATTCTCTTGCATGAAGATAATGCACAAAATCGAAGGTATCCCTGCGATTTTTCACTCATTTTTAGGTTAGTCGAGAATCCGCTATATTCTTCAGATTTGGCTGCAAGAGATTATCGAGTGTTTACAACACTTCAATAACACTTGCGTGGTAAACGCTTTTTTTCAGAGAATGTCATAATGGCAAAAGTTGTTACAACAACCTTTCTTTTGAAAATTAAAATTAGAATATAGAAAGAAAACATGTGTTATTTTTTATTGTAAGTGGCTCAGCAGTAGAGCAACTAGATCAGCCCTCGTAGATCTGCATATTTTGATGCAAATGACTGCAGCGATTCGAACTTCTGAGAAATAGAGTCTTTGTTATAATTATAATAGTACATAAAATATCCCAACTTGAACTTGTACACTGAACTGTATATAATACTTAAATAAAGCCGGTTCATTGGATTTTTATACAATTTTGACATATTTACTATGTGGTATATATTACTATCTGGTATGACTTTCCTGTCGGACTATAATGTTAATTTGTTAAATACTGATTTATCCTGATACGAAATTTGTTTGATTTTTTTTAAACTATGAGGTTACACAAAGTTATATAGCAGCCGACTAGAATCACATGAGTTCATAGGTTTTTTCCGGTAGTAGAGAGATATCACCTGGGCCCTTTCCATTATCCATTGGAAAATCACGAATATGGCGAAAGAAATGTAGAATATTAGAGCATCCACCTTATCTTCCCGATTTATCGCCTTGCGATTTTCACATCTTTGGACCAAGAGCAAAGTGCCGCAAGAAAATAATTGTTGTAGACATATTTACCAAAAATGTATTTCAATTGAATAAGCCTCGTATTTACAAGCTAATGATAATATAATCAATATTTTCTAACCTCTAAATTGACAATTCAATATTTGATATTTCTTAAATGTTTGACCTACATTTGTGCAACTGACCAACTGACCTGCCATATTAGAATGATACGTCCATGGAATGTGGAATTAAGATTTTACAGAATAAGAGACAAAACATATGGTCGCATTTAATTATTACAGTATTCAAATTTATTTTTGTTCATAGCCATCGCCAGAGTCCAGCGACAAATATCGGTGGATCCAGCTCAACAGTTTTTGTCGGATCAACAAAGTCCCTTGCAACCAAGTACGCCTCAGGAGCTTAGCCCGTCTGCTACGCCAACACCAAGCCCAAGACAATTCATAGGAATGAAATCCCCGACCTTTCCTCTTCCTTCACCAGTGGCTCAGACAGCAATTAGACCTCCTACACCCTCTCATTCTCCACATGATGTAAGTCAGGCAAGCACCCCTGACGGTAATGATCACTTTATTCAATCACCTTCTACTCCTAAACCTAATTTTCCTACTAGATTACCTACCGATCAATTTATCCACCAACCTGCAACTCCTAGGCCCCAGTTCGGAATACAACGGCCACCTTTACAGGTAAGTTGCTTGTTTACTGGAGCATGTTTATGCAATTTATATTATTGTACAACTATTTTCAGAACTTTGGTAATGCGATCAGGACAGATCAGCAAGATATTAATATCAACCGGCAGTTACGAGATCTCCTACAGCGACAACAGGTGAAAAAATTGGATGAACTGTTACCAGGTAAAGTTCAACAACAAAGAGTGTGGCCTCCAATTGAACAACAAGAAAATGAGGCCTCAGCAACTACTGGTATATTTTAATTATTTTTTTCTTTGAGATTATTCTAAGCCTACAATTACTTTCTAGGTACTTCGGCAGTTGTGGCTACAACAGCAGATACCACTTTCAGGCAACCATTACCGCCCAGCATTGTGCGACCTAGAGTGGCTCTCTCTTTAGCCGGTCGAGCAGGTCCTGGTACTATTAGGGTTGGCCAGTTAGATGCCCGAATGCAAGGCCTGGATCCTAGAATGAGATTAATTTTGCAACAGCAAGTTGGCGTAAGTATCTTCCTCCTGAGTCCTAATTCCTTATAGTGATGTGGTGACACCATCAAATTTTTATAATCTTTTTACAATTACCTTCCATCCTTTTCTGTCCTGGACTAGTTGTTCGGCTTCGTGTAAACCTCGGTTAATTAGTATTTTTTTGACCCATATTGGAGGCTTGGAGATATTTCTCTAGGTCTTTTTCCTTCAACTGTATCCTCAATTATAATTTTTTTTCATCGTACCTGTTTTGGCAATGTGTCCAAAATACTGCAAATATTTCTGTGTAATACTGATACATTTGTTCGATGTTCAATACAGGATATTTTTAACATTCGTCAGTATACTCACATCTCTATTTTATTTTTGGCGTAAGTATACCCTATCTCAATTGTAATTATATACAATAGTTAGGGGTACGGAATTTTCGTTTATACGAAATAGATGCGAATTTCGGCGAAATTTTGAACATAAATGCGATAAATGCGAAATATGGATTTTTTGTTTATTTCCGCGAAATATCTGCAGGTGCTCAACTCACCCCTAAATAAGTAGGTAGTTACGAAGGTATAGAAAGATTTTACAGAAAGTTTTCTATTGTAATTTTTGAAAGGATTGTTTACTGTTGTAACACGTGTTGAAACAGAAGGATCTTTCATTGTTCATCATTAAATAGATAAAGATAAGATAAGGAATTGATATTTTTCAATGTTGATTCTTTGAGAAATATAAATAAGCCGACTGTTGTTGATAAAAGTCGGCTAATTCTTATTTTCTAAACATATAAATTAGTCAACCAGGACAATCAATGCTCATTCCGTCAATTTTTACTGAGTGAGAACATAGTCTATCAAAAAAGTTTTCATAGTGAAATAAAGTTACTTAAAGTATCTCCTAAAATGGGACGCCCTAAAACAATTTTGAGTGATCGAGTCAAAGAATTTGCAACCGATGGCCTATATCTGTGTGACACAAATATTGTGATGTGTAAGTATTGTAATACTCGTTTGGAAGGTGATAAAAAGGACACACTGCAGAAACATGTGAAGTCGACTAACCACATTAACAAGAAAAAATCTATAGCATCTACTTCAGGAACTAAGCGACAAATGTCAATTGCTAGTGGCTTTGAGAGACAGAAACGAGCAAAAGAAGAAAATGATACTTTTGTGGAGGATACATTAGTGTGAAAGCCAACATTCCACTTCATAAATTGGATCATCCAGCTGTGCGTGAATATATTGCTAGATATGTGCCGGGTCGGGTGCTCTTCCATGTGCGGACACTTTAAGGAGAAAGGTAGTGCCTCGGTGTGGGCTGTCTGAAAAAGCCAATACAAAGCAACAGCTGAAAGACAAGCCCATTGTAATAGTAGCAGACGAAACCTCGGATGGACAAGGAAGATGTGTTTTTGCTATTCTCTTCAGAACTATAGATTCTGTACTACATCAAGAATGTTTTTTAGCAAGTGTTAACTTCCTTGATACTGCCAATGCATCAACGTGTTCACAGGCAATTATAGATACATTAAAAGACTTTGAAATTGGTTATTCACAAGTTAAAGGCCTGGTATCAGATTCCGCAAGATACATGTCTGCTTGCTTTAACCTATTAAAAATTCTAATAGGGCCACATATCTTACATTACCAGTGTTGGGCTCATAAAGTTAATCTTGTTGGTGATGTGTTTGTAGGAGAGTTCAAGGAGTTAAACATGTTTACAGCAAAAGTCAAGTCAGCCTTTTGTCTTTCAAGAAAAATGAAGAACTCTTACTTGAATTATTTGAAAGAAAACGTGCCCAATCTCCCAGCAAAACTTTATCCAGCACCAGTTGTAACTAGATGGAACTCTTGGTTCTCAGCAGTGTCGTATCTAAGTGAATATCTTAATCACTTACTCAATTTTTTTGATGTGTGGGAGAATGAAAATTCCAGTATTAAAATTCTCAAAGACAATTACGCCGATGAAACTTTCAGGCGTAAACTAGAAATTCAAATGACCTTCACCACCGAGTTCTGTCCAAAATTAATGAAATTAATAGACGATTTGGAAGGAGCCAGTTATCCATTCGCCCATCTTTTATGGAACAAATTAGAGGGCTTAAAATCGTCACTTGAACACCATCGCCAAGGTTATTTTGGTGTAAAAACATCTCGATTGCTCACTGAAAACGAAAAATTGACGCTACACTGAAGAAAATGCTTATGAAAGCAAACGACAAAGCCTTTAATAAACTAACTCTCCATATGACTTTAAAAGACACAAACGAGGCTTTCTTACACATTGGACAGTTATTTAACCCATGTATAGCTTCAAGTTTTACTGTGAACCCGAGTGTACTCTCAGAAAGCTTTGCTAAAATTCCTTTTTTTAGAACAATGACACAATTGGAGTACATAGATGGATATACTCACTTTCACAGATTAATCCTTCAATCGATACAAAGGAACGAAGATCCCAATGTGAAGGATATTTTGCTTGCTACACAATGCAGTTTTCCGTCATTTGCTAAAGCAGCATTACAGAGCATCTGGAGTCCAACGAACAGCGTAGATGCAGAACGATTCTTCAGCAAATATAATATTGTAGTGACAGATCGAAGAACAGCTCTTAAAGAGTCGAATGTCGAAATTACAACGATGTTAGCTTTTAATTAATGTTTTTTGTTGTTTACTCGTAGTTAAAAATAAATGCGAAATAAATGCGAAATTTTGTAATTATAAAAAAAGTAAATGCGAAATTCATGTTTTTTATTTGCGAAAATTTCGTACCTCTAACAATAGTATGTTTTGGCTTTCTTGTTTTTATATTTACACAGGGAATCTTGAAATTTATTCAATGATCTTCCACTCCTGTAAACCCAGTTTTATATAAACCTAGTTTTCATACTTTTTTGTTAGTTGAAAACATAGTTTTCGTATTAGATTATCTACAGAATACATCATTACGTTTTATTTATTGTAGTGAACCAAAATTATTGTTAAATATCAAATCGTTAGACGTTAGACAGTCGGCAAAGACCTTTGTTACATTTAAGAATCCTCTCTCGATAGCTTGTAGCGGTTTATTAATTAATTTACTTCATTTTTAGCAACAACGATTATCTGCGGGAATTCAACATCAATTCGTACGGTTTACCTCGACACCAGCTCGCCCCGCGACCTTGGATCAATATGAACAACTACTCCACAGACCTACTGCTACTCAGATCCGAGCACCTGATCAGCAAAACGCACCTCGAATGACTTTGAATCAAGCTAGCGTCATTCAAAGACCGCAAATTGTACAACCTACTCAAAGTACTCCTGCAACTAGTGCTGCTGATAGTAATCCCAGTGAAGAAGGTATTCCCGATAATGTTACTGCTGAACTGGAAAAGCTTGAACAAGAAACAGGTACTCTTCTTTAACGAATATTTATTTATATTAATAATACTGCTAATATCATTTATTAAAAGTTTAATTTTTCCTTTGTATTAATGCGGCACTATATATTTCTGTTTTGCGTTAGGTACTATGGTAGAGTTACAAGGTGTCAGTGAGATCCTCGGAGGGCTGGGAGATGACGACGATGAACTTTTAGCTGAAATGGGTGCCGATTTCAATATCCTAGAGTATGCCGATCCTGAGCTGGAAGCTTTAACAGGCGGCAAAACAAATATATTAGATCTGGAACTCGAAGAAGAGCCAGTGAAGAAAGAGAAGATAGTATCCAGTGCAGAAAACCAACCTACGAATCAAACAGTAAACACAATTTCGAGCCCTGTGAAACCTAAACATGAAGAACCAGTTGAAACGCCTGCTCCAAAACCAGAGCCCGCTTCTCTGCCGCCGCCGCCTCCTCCTTTGGCATTGCCACAACAGCAGCCTGCTCCTGTCCAACATACACCACCTGTCGCTATTCAACAACCAACTCCACATCCTCCGCAAGTGCAACCCACAATGCACTTGACGCCCCAACAGATCCATCAACAGATGGTACATCAGGTAATTTAATTAAAGTACTTAAACTGTACAGTGTTAAACTGTTTGTTTTTTCAGGTTCAACAGGCAGCAGCTCAGGGCAGACCTATGCCACCGGGTTCAAAGATGCAAACTCCTGATGGATTTATTGGTATTGTAATGCCTAATAATAGCGTGCAACTACAGATACCTCAAAACTATCAACAAAGGCTATTACTCTTACAACAACGTAAGTAATGTAAAAAAATATGAATCATGTTTGATAACATTGGTTATGAATCTCTCCCGTGATTAATAGTACTACAGTCCTTAGACGGCCTCGATATTTTCAAACGTTCTGCGAAATACTGTTCTATTCTTTACTTGGGTTTTGTCCTCAGCATCTTGCATTAACTAGTTTATCCACCTGAGGTTTGGTTTAGCTCCTTTCCCGGTACCCGCCGGTTTAATGTTTGTGAATCTTTTGATCATATTTGATTCTAGTCCCAGGCTACCTACATGCCCAGGCTAATTTAGATAGATTTGTTTGATTGTATAAAAATGTCTTCTCAACCGAACTTAAGCTTATATACTTCTGTAGTTGTTGCCATGATGTCCATAAGCGTATGCTATAGTCTGGATTGATTTATTAAATATAATATGAATTGACTTCCAAGATCGTCCGATTTAACATCGCCAGACTATTTTCTGTGGGTATATGTAAAGTCGCTAGTTTACGCTGATAAGCCTGAAACGATTGACCACTTAGAGAACAACATTCGCCGGGTTATTGCCGATATACGGCCACAAATTATAAAAAAATTCATCAAAAATTTTAGACTACGTCAGAGCCAGCCGTGGTGATCATATGCCAGAAGTCATATTTAAATTATAATCCCAAAAGTCTTTTCAAAAATCTTTTCAATAGTCAATTTCATGTCAATTTAAAAAAGCATCTTTATTTTATTCCATTTCAAAGTTCTATACTTCTAAAAAAACACCCATTACAAACTTATTGTACATGGCCTTGGTTATCTGTTGTCCGCCATGTTTAAACAATTCTGTCTATTTTTTGCGACATTTCTATATTATCTACTATATTTAATTGAAATAAACTACAATTTTAATCAAAAATACGGCACATTTGAGGTTTCAATATTTTTTTATATTTCTTTTACTTGCATAAAGGAGCATTAACATCATTTTTACTTTTGCTACAGTTGCTGTATTCAGATCAGCTGTACATCGTGCGTTTAAAGAGCAAAAGGTTTTCTCATTTGTTGAGATCATCCATGTTTCGCATTCGTATCTCAGCACTGGTAAAATAAGCGTTCGTTCATTACGGAGACCATGGCATCGTATCCTCGCCTAGAGTATAGCACTGACAGTGAACGTTACCATTTAAAATAATGCATTTATTTTATGTGGCGATGATAATAATGATACCATCCTATGGTCCGATCGAGGGTCGGCGCCTCGTTATGAACGCATGCTTAGAGTCTTGTAAATTATTATTTTTGTTTTAATTCTTAGGTCCATGCTTTTTAATTGCCCACTGAGTCCAAAGTATCATTTGGACGCTATAATTTTTGTTCTCTGTTGTCTTAATTTGGCGCCTCTTTCTGCTTTCTCTAAAATACGCCAATGCGTCGCCCTATCGGTGTGTGTTTCAAAGGTTTGTAAAAATGGACTACCTAAGTCTGACGTCACAATGGGCGGTGATTTTAAAAACCTTTTCCAAATATTTTCATTTTGTGTGTATTTGTCGCATAAAACGTTGAAAATATTGGTTTTTTTAATTGTTTGAAGAATAAATAAGACTTTTGGTTATGAAAATTCATTCTGTGCGATTATTATTATTTATTGTTCGTGAATTTGTGAGGTAAGAATATCAAAGTATTAAGATATTTACTACGAAAGTTCATATTTTAATGTTTTTGTGTTATTATGTTATTGTATGATTAAACCTTTAATTATTTTTTACTGTATTTCAAGGTATTTTGTTGTTGTTTTTATCAGGGTTATTTTAAACTAAGTCAATAAATCATTGAATTTATTTACGAAGTTGAAAAATATTTTAATTAATGTTTTATTCTTTTTTCGTTGCCAGTGATTTTATGCTGTTAAATACAAAAGATATTCGTTTTCTCGTAGTTTAAGTTGTAATATTACATTCCGTGGAAACCTTTCTAGCAAATTGCCATAATGCGCATTTAAAAAAAATGTTTCTTGAATGTTGTAATAGTTTTTGAGTTTATTTTTTAGATCTGGCGTATACTGGCTAGTAAACATGTGTTAAAGATATCCAGTATTACTGAATTTTTTAGTAATGACAACAAAACTACTATTAACTATTTAAACTACGAGAAAACGAATATATTTAGTATTTTAGGGGATAAAATCACTAGCACTTAAAAAAGATTTAGACATTAATTTAAATATTTTTTAACTTCGTAAATAAATTCTATGATTTATTAATTAATTTTGAAATAACCCCGATAAAAACAAAGACAAAATACCTTGAAAAACAGTAAAAATAAAGTTTTAATTAAACCATAACATAGCCTTAAAATATGAACATTCATAGTAAATATCTTAATACTTTGATATTCTTACCTCACAAATTCACAAACAACAAATAATACCAATCACACAGAATAAATGTTCATAACCAAAATTTTGAATTTATTCTTCATACAATAAAAAAAACCAATATTTTCAACTTCTTATGGGACAAATACAGACAAATTAAAAATGTATGGAAAGGTTTTTAAAATCCCCGCCCATTGTGACGACAGACCTTAGGTAGTCCATTCCCGGGAATTTATACTTTAAAGGTAACTTGTAGCCCTCACCAGTCGTATTAGTTTGCCGGGGACGTTAAATTATAGATGTTCATTTCAGTTCAAAATCAGAAACTTCAAATGCGCGTAGGCACTACAACTCCACGAGTAGCGGTGGTGGCACAGAGTCAGCTACCAGTCGGTTTGGCTACCGGCCCCAGAATGGTGGCGGCACCACCGCCCCCACCACCTCCGCCGTACCCAGGTCCGCCGCCGCCATATCCAGGAAACGCGGCTCAACATCAACAGGTAAATATTTGCTATGTACTAGTTTGTATTTCAGCATGAGGTGTTTTGGTTTTTCTTTGTTTATATTATGATGTTTAGTATTAATTTATCATTTTGCATCGACTTTTATAACAAAATTTAACAATTAACATCTGATCAGAAGTAATATCAAGAATATTCAGAGTTTCTCATTTAACAATTAGTAATATACTCTGAAACTTTTATTTATTTAAAAATTGTTTTAAACTTTATACAAATTCTAATATACCACTCAAATATAGTATTAGAATATAGGGTTCCGCAGTTTAGAAATATGAAATATCTTTTCTGTATACCCTACAAATTTGTGGCTTTCGGAAAGATTCGAGAGCATGCCGTCGGGCCTCTTTTTGGATCAGTATCATGTTTAAACAGGTACTTAAATCTATCGTTTGTAGACCGCCTCGTCAGATTCATCGCGCTTTTACTGACTTTAAAAGTTGTTCTGAGGCTGCTTTTCTTTTATTCTGAGAGGAATAGTTTGTTTGTTCCTGGTTCATTCTTATTCCACAAGGAACTAGAAAATTGCCTTTTCCATCAGGAAAAGGTCACACGGCTCCTGTATGGGCGAATTAGACCATAACAATAGCCAGTCTCAGAAGTCAGCACAGTCTAGCACATCAGAAGACACAGCTTCGCTAAGTCCCCGAATATTTGTCTATGAAGAGCGGTATATGTCTACAACGTTGCTATCGGAATTTGTGGTTACCTTGACCTGGCTTGGCTGGTCAATATGCCAGAACTGGATTCTGACAAATGACGTCAGGAAATTTCATCCTCATCATATGACACTTTGGAGGTCAGGTACTGTCTTAAGTCTGCAATGGACAGCGAGCATGCAGATCATTGGGGAACATCATCGATTATCTATCATAAAAAAAAGTTGTAAAAAACTACTTTTCAAAATATTTCACTCTATTACCTGAGAGAGGATCTTAGAGGAATTATATCGATAATGATCTAATACTCCTGATGAAGAAATTTACTGCTATTTCCAAAATTTCGAATCCACAAAAAATAAGTAAAATATATACTTTGGTTTATGCTCAATAGAAGAACATTATCATTTTCGTATAATTGCCGTAAGCAAACAACAGTAAATATTATACCATTTTAAAAGATGTCTTTCATTTTATTCAAAATATTGGATTATTGCAAAACATTTTAACCTAACATCGGTTTTATTTATTTTTATTATTTAATTGAATAAATTATTGGATTATTGAATATATTATTATAATATAAAATTATTGAATAAATGGGATATTTATCTGAATCTGAAAATTTATGTGTACATTAGGATCAGCTCATACAAAAAGTTGCTTTTATTCTTAAATATCACAGGCAGTAATGAAAATTATAAATAATTTACGTCATTTAATTCATCTATTTTAAACGAATTAATGAATTTGCATATCCTTTAGACTAAAATCACTTCTGTTGACACTGATAGATAGATATGATTACGACCTGACACACTGGTACATTTCCAGATCTATTGTGCTTCTCTTTATCATTAAAGCTCCTCATCTAGCCCTACCCGCTTGATGACATTGCACAGCCTTGAGAGTCGTTTCTCACCCCAAACCTGATGTTTCTGGTTTGCGCTCTCACAAGTTCTAGATACCACAGTCCCTTAAAGCCTTCTCAGTGACCTAAGACGTGTTCATAACACTCAAACGCTTTTAGAGCCTAGTGTCCAGTTAGCACTCCCAATATCATCCTAATAAATAGCCTTTCGGTTCTGCCTTAGTCTTCTTCTTAAGGTGCCTTCTCCATTACTGAAGGTTGGCTATAACTACAGCAAATTGCTCTCTATCTTGAGCTGTTCTTAGTATCGCATGTGTGTCCATGCCTGTCCAGTCTCTTATGTTCTTCAACCAGGAGCATTTTCTTCTTCCTGGACCTCTTCTTCCTTCCACTTTCCCTTCCATTATAAGTCGTAGGAAGTTGTATTTTTCTCCTCTGTAGATATGTCCTAAATAACTCGTTTTTTCGGTTTTTTACAATATTTAGGAGTTCTCTGTCAGTACCCATTCTTCTTAGCACCTCGTTGTTGGTCACGTGCTCTGTCCAAGAGATCTTCAGCATTCTTCGAAAAACCCACATCTCAAAGGCTTCTATACGCCTCATACTTGTAATTCCGAGAGTCCATGTTTCCACTCCGTATAGCAATATGGAATAAATAAACGTTTTTACAAATTGGTATCGGATGTCCAACGATAACGTAGAGTTTATTAGAAATTTTTTCATTCGCTGAAATGCGGACCTAGCATATTCTATACGAGCACGTATTTCGACCTCGTGGTCAAGATCGTTTGTTATCCAGCAACCAAGATACTGGAATCTTTGTACTGGTTCTATATGTTTGTTATAGATACGAATATTAATGTCGACATTTGGTGCACGTGTAACAGCCATCACTTTTGTTTTATTTGTGTTTATATTTAGTCCCAAGCTATCTCCCTCTCTGGTTATGACATTCAAAAGTCGTTGTAAACCCTCAGCACTGTCCGCAATAATGACGGTGTCGTCTGCGTATCTTAAGTTGTTTACGTATTCTCCGTTGATTTTTATTCCTTCTTCAATATTTTCGAGGGCATTTTGAAAGATCTTTTCGGAATATATATTAAATAACAGTGGAGAAAGTACACAGCCCTGACGAACTCCTCTTTTTATTGGCAATTCTGCTGTCAGACGATTGTCTATTTTGATAGATGCCATTTGATCCCAATATAGTTTTTTAATAAGTGCTACAGTGTTATGGTCTATACCATGTTGTGTTAGGGTTTCTATGAGTTCTGTGTGTTTAACTCGATCAAACGCTTTTTCGTAGTCGATAAAACAGAGAAAGACGTCTTTTCGCTGATCTCGGCATTTTTGTAGTAATACCTGGAGGCCAAATAATGCCTCCCTTGTACCAAGCCCATACGAAATCCAAATTGATTGTCGCTAAGGTTTCTTTCGCATTCTCTGTATATTCGTTGATGTACAATTTTGAGTAAAATTTTCAGAAAATGGCTCATCAGGCTAATTAATCTGAACTGTGAGCATCTATTTGCTTTATTTTTCTTGGGTATAGGTATAAATGTCGATCTAAGCCAGTCTTCTGGGAAGATTCCAGTGGTATATATTTTGTTAAATAATATTGTTAATGTCTGAAGATTTTCTTCATTGATGAGCTTTATCATCTCTACGTATATTTCATCTGGACCTGAGGCTTTTCGTGACTTTGCCGTATTGATTGTTTTTGTAACTTCAGATGTTAATATATCAAGTATTGTTTCTTGTACTATATTCATTTGTGGTTCTGTTCTCTCGTCATCAAACAGATCTTCGATGTATTTTTCCCACATGTCTCCTACTTCTTCTGGACTAGATACTATTTCGTTGTTATCATCTACTAAAGTTGTTGTAGTGATTTTTTTCTTCATATTTGTGACTTCCTTAATCTTTTTGTAGGCATTAAAGTAGTCATGCTTTTTTTAGTAAATGTCCCAGTTCCTCACACTTGCTGCTCATCCATTCTTCTTTGGCTTTCCTAATTTTGTTTCGGATGATTCTCTGGGTTTCTTTATATTTTTCTACATTACGATTTTTGTAAGATCGCCTTATGTCCATCAGTTCTAGGATTTCTTCTGTCATCCATGTATTCTTTGTTTTTCTGGTGCTGTCTTGTAGTTGTTCTCTTTGTATAGTTGTCATCGTTGTTTTGAAGGTGTGCCAAATACTTTCTATTGTCTCTTCTGCTTCCGCGGGGGTTTCACTGAACTTTTCTTTGAGTGTATCATTGAGTTTTTTCTCTATTTCTGCCTGTACTATTGGGTCTTTAAGTTTTTCTAGGTTAGGTTTTATATTCTTTCTGTATTTGATTTTTTTTAGTCTAATTAAAATTTTACCAACAACAGGATTGTGGTCGGAACCGATGTCCGCCCGGGATATGTTTTAACTCCCTTGATTCCATTTCTATAACGTTTCTCAATTAATATATAGTCAATCTGGTTTCTTATTATGCGGTTTCGATTATCGCCAGGTGCTTTCCATGTATATAACCTTCTTTTGGGTTGTTTAAACCAGGTGTTTGCGATCATTAGATTTTCTTCTTGGCAAAATTGGACCAGTATTTCTCCTCTATCATTTCTTTGGCCCAAACCAAAGTTTCCTACTACGTCTTCGGTCCGCCCTTCACCTACTTTGGCATTAAAATCTCCCATAATAATGTTTACAGCATTTTTCTTTGTGATCTTCATTAGCTGCTTGATCTCTTGGTAGAATTCTCGTACTTCTCTTTCTGGTTTTTCTGCTGTAGGAGCATACACTTGAATGCTCTGCCTTAGTAGGTCTGCTATAAATTTCGTTGAATGTACCTTGATAAACTTTACATCTTCCCTCTGTTTTGGTGCATTCCTGGAGATTTATTTTGCACTCACAGGTTGAAATAAAAATAAATCTATTAATTCTAACGTATATACACAAAACAAAAATAAAATATATTCTATATCCCCGTCTGGATCCCGCGAGAGTGAATTCCCTGGTGGACGTCTGTAAAAGAAAAATTATTATTACTAACAGAAAATAAAATACGCGAATTCGATCGCACGCAGACTTATACTCCTTTTCGCAATCGTTCTCGCAATCAAAATATTCGATTGTGCAGATCCACGTTATACTCTAAGTCAGAGTTGACGGTTACGTTCAATCCACTATACCCACGGGTTCTGCTTGATTAAGTACAGAGTATAATCCTCACTGCGGAAGTCTCTCTGTCCGGGTTGGCTCGCAGTGATTATCGACACTCCCACGGTTCGAACTGTTGAACGCTGTTGCTGTAGGACGTTCAGCACATCGTTACACTACATTTGACAGTACCTGACAATATTATTGTTTTGTGACATCAGTGTCAATTAAAGTAATTTTAATCTATAGTTAGATTAATTACACTTTACCTACTTTTACATTTCGTTTCACCGTTGACCAAGGAA